TATCCACCACTTTCACCGACACTGAGGTGAATAATTGTTTTAGTATATACCACACAAGCTGAATAACTAGTGGACCAAAGAGTAACCTTATTTGTTTAAGAGTAACTTTATTTGAAACGGAAAGCCATTTTGTTTTTCTTCGGCTGCTCGGAGGTGAGTAGTACTTGGCTACACACCCCCGAGCTAGCCAATCAGCATGCGCGAAAAGTACTATTCACTTGTGTGGTATATACTAATTAAAGATAGTTGCGCAGTTTTGACTTTTAACTTAGGAAGTAGAATTGTGAAGCAGTCCTGTGAATTAAGGAATATGGTTTCCTTTGCGATCTCGGCTTACTGGAAAACTTGTTGCTTCTTTCAAAGGTGTTTTGAGCTGTAAAATAGGAAAACGACACCTGTTTGTTTTAGGCCCAGTTCAAACGTCGCATTTCACATGTGCCGAATTTAATTCTTATTTTGATCGACTTAAATACGATACTTGATTCAGACGTCGAATATAATGCTGCCAAATTGAACTCTGTTCGCCGCCAGAATATCCCCAGTGTAATAATGGGTAACAAATGAATCATAACAATTTACTATAATTTATGCATTATATTTGGCACATGTGAAATGCGACGTCTGAATCAAATGTGGAGCCTAAGTTGAATCTTCGACTGTTTCAGTCTCAGATTCGACAAATTCGAAACTGCCGAATTTAACTGATTCAAACGTCGTATTTCACATGTATTTGATGCTCGAATTAAATTCGGCACATGTGAAATGCGAAGTTTGAACCGGACTTGAGGCAATCGCACCTTGAAGTCGACGTTCGCTTAATGATTAGAGATCATTATGATCATTACGGTCAATGATCACTGCATGAATAAACGAAGACCAGATAATTTGGACAGTTATGGAACATATGCTTTCTTTCGATATTTCACTGGGAATTAAAACTAAATTAAAACTGAGGCCTTAAAGATCTAGCATTCATTTAAACCTTAGATGACAAATATTGTTTGGCTTGATCCCTGAAGCAGCAGAGCAGCTTGGCGGCCTTTCTAGGCTGCGGCTCTATAAGAATTTTTTCTCCAGGTGCTTCAGTCAAGAACTTTAGGACTTAATGGAACATAACTTCGGGAACTTAATGTAAGACTCAATGAAACTTTGGGAGCTAAAAATTATCATTTAGGCTTGAAACATTAAACAGTATTTTAATATTTGACGCTGAATACTGTTTCGCTTAATCCTTAAAGAGCGAAGCAACTTAGCCACAGTTTAGACTGCGGACTAGCATCCCATCCAGGGCGGCAGGGGAGTAGAAATACTCCTGGTTGCTCCATGCTACAGAAGTAAACCAGATATAACCACAATCCTGATGGGCCGCTAGACTCGTATACAGACTCTTATGTAAAATCGTTATATGCTTTAAAATTCCACATTTACAATGGAGACAGTCATTTTGCCAAAAAAACAAGTACATCAATGAGAAATGTAGATGCTTGAGTTTAACACATCAACATTGACAAAACCTTCAG